GAATGGAATTAAATAAAAGCCTGTAAAAAGCCGTCTAACGTGATTTAGGAAAAAGTTTAGACCTACTTGGAAATTTGTCGTATTAATTAAGTGCTGCTAGTAAATTGTCTACTCTGGGCTTAGTGTTAGAAAACACGCGAATCATTTCAATGCATTAGCATGAATAAAAAGAAGTGTATTCAAGTTTTAACCGAAACAAAGCGTTGAGACTATTCTTTTTTCGCCAGACAACTAATTTAAAACAGAGGGGGGCCCAACAAGAGGGGAAAAATTCTCAAAGGCTCTGATTTGTTTTTTTTTGTTTTTTTTAATCAGAGACAATTTAAAGAGGATTGGAATCTACTGGAATTTTTGTGGGATTTTTTTTGTTTGTTTTGTTTCTGTTTGTTGGAGGGGGGGTATTTGTTTTTGCGACAGTTTCTGAAATATCAAGAAACGTGCCAGGGAATTGCATGACTTCCAACATCAAATTGTACACAACTGACCGCTGTCTCACTGTTATTAATCAATAGCATTGGCGCTGTTAGGACTAAAAGTGAAACCTACCACGACAGAAGCTGCTAGAAAAGCAACCGGGCGGCCGCGGGGGCAATATACTCACCGTGGCATTTGATCTCGTTCTGGGAATCGTCGCGTTTGTCTAGTTTGGTTTTGCTGTCCTCCTGCTCGAGTTTTGGCCTGAAGCTCTCGCTGGCTGCGTTGCCCTCTTGTTTGGGGGTATGATGGGGAGAGGAGACACTGGTGCTGTAAGGTGCACAAGCCGCCAGCGGTTTGCTGTCGCCCAAAATGTCTTTAATTAAAAAAGAAGAGGTGGAAGTCCTGGGGGCAGAGTTGCCCGAGCCCAACTGTTGTTGCTGGGGGGGTGAGGGCTGCAAACTTTGCGGCGGCTGCTGGCTGTGGTGGAGGTGATGGTGTTCTGGCCCCAGATGCGACTCGGGGTGCTCCATGGTGACGGAGATGGGGGAGGAAGGAGCCGTCCCTACTGTGTCTATCTCCGAACATGGGGACGGGGTGGCCTGGTTTCTAAAATCCGCGGTCCTGGCATCGCTGTGCTGGCGAAAGTCTCCGTTCATCACGCCGGGGCTGCCTGAACTGGTATTAGACAAAATTGTGTCTATTCCAAAGCTCGACCCGCTAGATCCTTCCATGGTGGCCATTCAGCGAGGCGCCTTCATCCCAATCCGCCAGCCGGGGCTCGGGAGGCTCGAGTCACCAGCACAATCGGATCAATAAATAAAACAGCAGCGAAAATGTCAGTGTCTTTAAAACAAACACCGAGTGGTGGCGGGGGGGG